ATTCAGTCATATGGACAATACATTTTGTATGACAGCAAAGCGAGTCAGGAGAATATGTTATTAACTGGCAGGAGTTTTTATCAGCATAACAAGAACTGGATTCTAGTATAATTTATTAATGTGAAAAGGCTAGAAAAATAGCATGTAAAATATTAAATATTATTCTGAATACTTATTAAATTCTGTTGACTTTTAAACACGACTCGTGCCTCTGAATTCAATGATATTTTCCTGATCTCTTCTCCTCAACCCTAGCAGAGCACTTTCCCAACCTAATAATTCAAAAGTCAGTGTGAAGCCCTTGTCAGTAAACTGCTTCTGTGCCAGTACTGATTATGCCCTTCATTGTACCCTTGCTTGCCAACAGCCCTTCACTCAGCTGGCAGTGATTTATGAGAGGTCTGTGACCAGTTTCAGTTCTAACTATGCAGACAAGGAAGACCTGCTGAAGGCAATGTCATCTTCTGCTGTTAGATATTTACCGTTTCTTTGATGGACAGTTTGTTATCGCCACAGTATTTTTTGTAGCTTTATTTCTGAGCTAGACAGATATGATAACGAACTTTTCCTCCCCTATGCCAGTTTAGATCAATTCACAAGTTTAAGAGATAAACAAGCCTCATTAAAATAGGAGTGCCTTTCAGGCCAAGCTCAGCACAACAAATGCCCTAGCATTAAAACCTTTGCCAATCAATGAAAGGAAATTGGAAGAAGCAGCACCTTCCTCCTCAAATCCCACGTTTCAAAAGAGAAAGACAATCAATACAGGTCCAGCAGTCAGCACCTATTTCGTACCAGACGGTCATGATGTTTCTCACATCAACTTTGCTGCTTAGCTCAGCAGAGAGCAGCAGCATTAATAAAGTCAGATGCATCACATATATGTGGACATGCAGGAAAAATATATTTAAATATATAAATAAGAAGACTAGAGGCGACATGTTTGTGTGCACACCCAAAAAAGAAAACCTCTCCCTGACTATCAAGAAAATATACCGAACAGGAATGCTGATATGGAAACAATTTTCCTTGAAACGGGAGGGTTACACACTCTGAGGGATTAATTGAGTGATTCCTTGGTTTACTTTAGCTATTTTGCTTTGGTCCCTTCTTTTGTCTGCATCGAGGAGGTTTACTGATTTACATAGTTTGTAACAATGTTTTTGCTATTGGTCCTTTTTTATTCATGTACTGTCTGTTTTCACAGGCTTATTAGACAACCCTAGGATGCCAACTCCAGTGCCATCATCACTGACATGGATGATGTTGCCTACTTTGGGTAATGAAATGTCTGTAAGAAAACAACCCAGTTCAGAGAGCACCAAGGACCCCTCATTTAAACTCTGAGCTACAAATATTCTTCTTTATTAGTTTCTAGCTTGAAGGATTATTCATGATAGTTTGGCCCTCTCCAGTGAGTCATGTTTGGGGAACTCATAAATAAGTTATTTAATCAGTATACTGCCTCTCATTATAGTCAGCTCTACAGTAAGACAAACATCTACGTGCATTCAATTGCTTATAACTCCTAAGCAAGTCTGTAAATCTAATACCACTTGTATGTCTTTGCCACCTTTTTATGAATTCTTTGATTTACATTTGTATGGTGACTTCAGCTATTTCTTAGAAAAAAATAATACTGTACAGACTTCTAAAAAACAAATCTGGTGTTAGGGGAGACACAGTGTACTTCATAATACACTCCTGCAATAAATAAGAGAGAGCTATTTTCAATTCAGTAGACATGTACTCTGAGATCTGCTGCTGGAAAAAATATATTGGGTATTTAGTGCAGAGAATTCACAGGTATGAATTTGAGACTGAGGAAGAGGTGCTAGTTGCATCGGTCTCCTTTACCTGCATGAAAACAATCCATTTGCATTAGCAAATGTGGTATGGATATATTAGTTTTGTCTCATAAAGTCTGTTTGTGCACCTGTTTGAACTAGGATAGTTAAATGCATAGTTTACACAATGGGTAAAGTTGGTTAGTTTTAACCTTAAGGGTTTGGTTGGGTTATATGGCTTAGCATATCATGTGTACCCAGGCCATTTACTTTGTTCATAGTTCAGTACTCTATGAAAGCAGAAAATGGGTTAATTCAAAGGTCAGATTAAGTGTGTTAGCCAAATGCAATCAATTCTTGGCTGGCATGTGGTTAGTGACAAGCTAAGCTTAGCAAGAAGCCAAAAGTTCAGATAAGAAGTGCTCTCCTAAGATATTTCTGCAGAGGCTGGGTGGTCACCCATTGGGGGATGCTGCAGTTGCAAAGCCTCTATCTAGAACTAAAAATGGAGAAGATGCTCTCTATCGTCCCTAAGATTTTACCTTGGGACTTTTGGGGAAATTTTATGAAATGTTGCCAGGATACAAACAGTCAGACTTTCCCCCACTGTGAAACAAACAATTCTCATTTATCACAGGAATAAAAGTCTTTACCAGTTGAAAGCATGAATGTGAGTCACAGGCTGATTCAATATAATATTGTTTATTACATTTATGTCACTTGCTTGGTTGTTCCTGGGATGTACAGACTCTCATGTTTGCTCCCAACAATGTTATGAGGAAAGAGGGAGGAGGTCAAAGATTAGTAACTTCATGGCAAGAGAGAGGTTTGAATTTTTGTCCTTCCAATTGTAGCCTAACAGTCTACCCACACTAATTAAAATTAGGTAAATAATCTCTCAAGTCAAGTTCAACTCCCAGTAAATACAAATTAGAACCTACTAAAAACATAAACTCATAGAAGGGAACAAAAAATGAGAATCCAGGACAGATCCTTTTAATACAATTTAGTATATTTCAAATATAGAATTTTCTCCTATATGTATTCCATAGTTTATCTTATTCCTCTTTCAAACCATTTCTTGCAAATTGTCATCATTTTCTTGTGAGGTTGTTTTGCAGCTCATTCCCTAAGTGCTCCTGAAAATTATGTAGCTGGACTACATCTGACAAAAGAATAAAGTATATCATTGTAACCAGTGCTTTTTTTCTAAAAAAAAAAAAAAAAAAATGGTGCTGGAACTCACACATGTCATACAACCCGCCTTGCCTACCCTACAAGGTTCCATCCAAAAAAGGTGCCGGAACTCCGTTCTGGGCGTTCTATGAGAAAAAAAGTCCTGATTGTAACATGATCGGTTTAAATTGAGTTAACCCAGTGTTCGAACCAGCCATCATTTGTAAAGCAAGTTTTATAGCTCAGTATATTGTATGAACCTAGTCAACTGTGGTTACTATTAAACCTTAATTCGTATTGTGTGAATCTAGCCATGGAGTAGAATGTAGATCAGGGGTGTCAAACTCAATTTCATTGAGGGCCGCATCAGCATTGCAGTTGCCCTCGGGGGGCTGGGTGGTGTGGCCAAGGTAGATGCGTCCTACTGGTTGGGTGTGGCTGGAGTGAGAGTGGCCTACTGGGTGGGCATGGCCAGCTCTACATCATTCGCGTCAAGGGTGCCTGTGGGGGCTTGGGCAGGAGTGGGACAGATCTGAGGATCTCTGGCAGAAGGGGGTGGGACAGGGGCAAGCGCCAAGGCATGGTGCATTTCTTCATTCCTCACAAAGAGTGACACCTCCCCAGCATCCACCCAGGGGGCGGGGCTGACACGGCAGGGGCTGGTTCCTTGCTGTTTCCAGATGGCGTTGTGGAGCTAAGACTGAATATGTTTCAGCATAGATGGCCACTACAAAATTGTACATTGGCTCCTGTGGCAGGGCCAAGGCAGCGGGGGCCATTCCCTCACTGTTTCCAGGATGGCTTCGCGGGCCACGTGAAACCACTTCGCGGGCTGCATCCAGCCCCCGGGCCTTGTGTTTGACATGTCTGATGTAGACTAAATTGTGTAATATAGTATTGGGTTATGACTGGGAAGATCTAGATCTAAAACTATCATACTATCACACAATTCATTGTGGTGAAGCATATATTCTGGTTCAAATCTCCCAATCTCTTCTCTGAAACAGCCAATCCCTTTTTCCAGCCAGTTGTCAGTAAGGTGTTCCCAGAGATGCTTCTTGGTTCCGAGGTTAATTCTTTATAAGTAGGCAACTCTTATCTTTTAAAGTGGGAAATGGATTCTTCCTCTCCAAAGGGGAATTATGCACATCATATATAGGTTTCAAAAGCCACATAACTATCAGGAAGCCAAGTAGCATTTTTTATTTCTCTTTACATCACCTAGTGGTTAACTGGATTTTTGCAGGACACATAAAAAATTTTTTCATGTTCTCACAAATGAAAATCTTGGAAATGGAAAATCTTATGGCTGGGCCTTGGCAGTGAGATGGCCCTCAATGCATTAGTTTTTAATAAGCAATTCAAACAAGTTCGTGCATGTTGTTTGTATTGATTTTCATTCATTCAAGAACAATATTTGGGAAAAAATATAATATGAATGTGTAGCTAAGGTGGAAACCAAACATTTGAATAAAAAAAGATAATCTGGCATATCCCTTTTTATAATTCTTTTAATAAGACAGAATTGAATTTGTTCTGTTTATATATTCTATCTACTGTTAACCATTTTCAACAGCCAAACGTCCTAAGAGTATGTTGCTTTTCCTTGGAGCCTTTCTCCTCCCATCCTTTCTGATAAAGATGAGGAAGGTAATCCTTCTACAGCACTCAGCAATTATCATCTCAAACTACTTCACAACATCATTATTGTCAAAATAAAAATGATGGGAGAAACTATGTTTTTTCTTTTGAGCTCCCTAAAAAAACCCAGTGCATAAAACAATGTAATGTAGGGAATCTGCTTTGCAACACCCTGATAGGTAATTGTCCATGTTTTGCTTAGAAGCCTTCTAGAATATTTCCAATGTTTCAAATTCTAAGAAAATATATCATCCATACCTGGTTGCCCAAGTAAACAAATGAGCAGCAAGTGCAGCTAGTCATACTATTAAACAATGTTACACAAAGTGGATACCAATAAGTGAGAATCTTTTCATGAGATAGTTGGCAAGTAACTTCTTCATGCATCTTTTCTAGAACACTCACAGATCTTCTAAAGCAGCCTGGTCACAGCTCATCTGATCACTTGCCTGATGGCCATATCAGCAGTGTGCAGGTCCAGATTGGTGATAGCCTTTCTCGGGGATCTCCCACAAGTAACAAAGGTAAGATAATCTGCCTGCTCACCTCCATGCATTCACATATGCACACACCCATATCTAAGCTAAAGACAAAAAAGAGAATCTGAGGGATTATTCCTCTGCCATAAGAGTTAGAAGGAATACCATTTTATAACTGGGATAGAGGAAAGAGTATAGGTAATCCCTGAGTTAACGTGCATTCACTTAACGCTCTTTCAAAGTTACATGAGTGCCCCCTAGTGCTTATGAGCAAGTCCCGAAGTTATGAATATTGTAGCACCACAGCAGTTGTTCGCCCTTACGAGTGACCGCAGTGGCTCTGCAACATTCATCCTGGTTATTCCCTCCCTCCTCACCCCCGCCCCTGGTCTCCCTAGGCACCACGCCTTCAATACTAACCCTGCGAAGATCAAGATCCTTCGCTTTCTTGGTTGCTGCAGGCCTTCGGTGCATTTGCAGAGAATGAAAGCCGAAAGTAACGCAAGATCAGTGGGGCGAGATCTCACGCCACTGATCTCACGTGATCTCATGGTACTTTAGGCCTCTGCAACAGAGAAGAGAATCGAAGCTAGGGGATGCTTCCACGTGACCTCCTGAGGCTGGATCGGGGCTATGGAGGCCTTTTTCAGGCTGCTACAGCCCGGATCTGAGGCCGGGAAATGCTTCCACACACCCCTGTGGCCTGATCCGGGGTCTGGAAGCATTTTCCAGGCCGCTACCGCCTGGATCTAAGGCTGGGGATGCTTCTGCGCCCTCCCTCAGCCCGATTCAGACTCCAGAGGCCTTTTCTAGGCTGCTGTTGCCCAGATTTGAAGCCCGCAGGTCGGGCCACAGAGGGGGTGCAGAAGCATTCTCCAACGGGTGACAGCGGCCTGGAAATGGCCTCTAGAGCCTGGATTGGGCTACAGGGGGGACCCAGAAGTGTTCCCTGGCCTTAGATCTGGAAGGCAGCAGCCTGGAAAACACCTCCAGACCCTGGATCGGGCCACAGGGGGACACGGAAGCATCCACTGGCCTTAGATCTGGACGGCAGCAGCCTGGAAAAGGCCTCTGGAGCCCGGATTGGGCCGCAGGGGAGCTGCGGAAGCATCCCCCAGGCTCAGATCTGGTTGGCAGCAGGAACCGTGGCAGAAGGAGATGGATTTTTTCCAGGTGAATCCGGTGCAGCAGCAAGGGAGGGGGAAGCATGCAGTATCTTAGTGGGTCGGGGAGGCCTTGGGGACATGTTCCATTACTAGGCCCTCCATGGCCTTCCCCATCCTGAGATACCTCATGTTCGCTTAACATGCGTTTTAACGAGCAAGGGAGTAATCTCGTTCAAAGTATGAGATTCACTGTGCGAGTTTTCGAGTTACGTGTGGAATGGATAGGGTCCATTACACTTGTAACTTGAGGACTACCTGTACTCAGATTAACATGCAACATCTCTTCTAGACAATAGGTAGTCTGAAAAGGGAATGCCATCCCTATGCTTATACCATGCTCTCCCTTCCTTCCACCTCATTATACCAAGTTAGTAAATGGAACTTTGTGGAACTTTAACTGTTTTTTTAAACTGATATATGTTTACATTGTAACATCCAGACAACGAAGCCTTTGAATTCTGGAAATAGCCATTTCAACATATCAAAGCAAGTGGCTTAAGCTTTTATAGTTCATCCACAATACATTAGTTGTACTACATCTGTTTGCCTTCTTGCTTTGAATGACATATCCACAAGTAAATAAGTACATTTTAGAAATACTTATCAAAGGTTGGTGATAGTTGTGTCCTTTAAATCATTCCATTCTGATGTTCTAGAGCAGCAGAATATGGATCTTTCTTGCAGACATGCAGCCTATTATCATGAGAGTGGGTAGCCAAGTCAACCTTCATGCATCCATACATGACTATATCTGCCAGTATGAAACAGATTCTAATTTAAAGATCCAATTTGTCCAAATAATACACGCCTAGAATTTCTATCTTGTCAATAAGTTTAGACTATACAAAAAGGGGTGGTATGCTACTATTTCTTTGGCATTCTTCAGTTCTCTGTTGGGGAGAGCTGTCTCTTCTTATTTGCCCATGTATTTAAATGCCAATTCCTGATTTCCTTCCATTGCACCCGCCCATCATCTATGACTATGGTAAAACTTAAGTACCAATGCATGTAACTTGCTTGAGGGGCTGGCAAATGTAATGTAAACTACTTAAGGTGGGCTGTTTAAATTTACACTTGCCATCCTTTTTTCCTTCAGATCAGAAACACCTGAACAATGCTGTAATCAACTCCTCCACAATCTCACAGATTGGGCTATCACACTCGCATAACAATCAGCTGCAAATGACAAGTGTTTTACCTAACCAGGCTTCAGATTATGCCAAATATGCAACTCTCAAGGCTGTAGGTAGGTGCCATTGTGTTTGCATACTCATTGACATAGCATTGGAATATTTGGACCAAATGCAGTGAGAATTGGAACACAGCCTTAGTGTTTGGGGCTGAAGCTCACTGTCTTCATGCCTGCTCACCCCCATTGCTGTGCACCAGATGACATCAGCTCATTGTTGTTGACATTCCACTCTGCTGGGTTGTAGCTTCTGAATTTCACTAATGTCAGAGAGGATTAGATGAGGTGGGAAGGAATAGACAACCCTGATTACAGGGGAAGAAAAAAAACAACAGCTAGAACTAAAAATGTAACAAATTTAGAGATATAAAAAAGGCTTGAACAGGGCAAAGAATGTATGCCTCTTAGCCTTACTGCAGAGGAGGTGTTTTGAATACCCAGGAAATGACTAAGAGGTGTTCCCAATTATACTTTAATGTTTATTAGCTGCTCTTTAACACATATTAATCACTACATTATGCACCTGTACATGTGGGTTTTCCCCTCCCTCTTTGAGTAAGTTTTACACATATTAAGCAATGAGTAGCTAAGCTGTGGCATGCCTGCCATGAATAGCTAAGGCTGTAGCTGTTGTCATATTTCTGGAAATAAGTAGAAAGATTTAATTATTGGTTAAATTAATTATAACAGTCTTAACCTTCTTGTGACACTAACAAGAGAGACAAACCAAAAAAAAGAGTTAGAGATCCTAGGGAGGATAGCCAACAGGAAAGCTACTAGAATTTCTATCAACTTAATAATTGTTTTTCATTCCCTTCCCTCCCCACACCCATATATTCCCCTATAGAAAGTGCCCCTGAAGAATTCTACAAGAGGTTTCCCATGGTGGAGATGCCATCATCAGGCACCTTGTCATTTTCTCCCCTGACACTTCATCAAAATGACCTCCCACCTTTTCCAGAAAGCTCTGCTCTCATTGGCTTGGGGACACCAGGACAGAAAACTAAAGTGATGAAAACCAGTGCAGGCAGTCCTGTCTTCAAAGGGGGCTGGGATCACAGCCATCCTGAATTTCGACGACAAGCTTATGCCACCAGGCGTCAGTTCAGTATTGAGAAGCTGCCTGAGGTCTTCAGCCAAACCCCCACTCATTATGCCCAGCAACAACGGCTTTTTTCCACTAATAGCAAGACTGAGGTCACTGTCTAGGATGGATCTATGGTTCATTCCCATATTCTTCCCTTTGAAGCAGTTGGTGAAGTAGGGCCTGACAGCTTAGAATGAAGTTGCTTCCCTCAATGTGCCACTCCTAGATTCTGGAAGGAGACATAGAAGATATAAAGAAAAGTAAAATGCTTGCCAGAGCTGATAATCGTCTACAATTGTAACAGAACTCATCTGTTCAATTAGGCCAATTTGATAAAACCTAGTTAGTGTGCTTGGTGAAACCAACATGCCTGTACTACCCTACTGCTATTGTTTCTTAATTTACTTTTTCATCATATCATACCAGAATCATCAATACAAAGAGAAAGCCTTCAGGACTCTATTACTGCATGGAACTGCATCAAAAGAGGGAATATATTTCTGCCCTTTCCATTCCCACAGTGCTCTAACAAAAGACAAAAATATTCATGCAATAGTTAATTGGTACCTTGTGTTTGGACATTCATCCTATACTATATTTCTTTTCAAATTTATATGTGGTTAAATTTCTGAAGGAAAACAGACAGGATATAAATCTGGTAATAAATGAATAAAAATAAACAGTCTGAAATGGAAGCACTAAGGAATGTCAGAAAATATATGCCATTTCCTTCATTTTAGCTTCACTTTTTCTCTCTATAGCATTTGCTTTAATGGTATTTTAATAATTTTGGGGCTTTGTATATAAATATTCTATACAATGAACATGATTTGCATTCTCTTATTATAGGTCTCATATTTAAGTGGATGACTTTGGAGAGTTAAAAAAATCTGGGTAGACCATAAGGTATAATTACCACCAAATTATGAGATTTATGTAAAGTATTTTAACAACATCATAATGGTATCTTGTTAAATCACAAAAGGCATGTGTGTGATCATGTAAAAAAACATATCTGTGAACATATATTTGTAACACCATGTTATTCCCCATTGCCCATATGTAAACATTTTATTAGTTGTATAGTAACAAATTCAAAATGAAGAAGTTGATACTTCATACTTCACTTTATGTCACATTTCACTCTGGCTCTTTCCACTGAGTCTTTTTTCATGATCTCTGGACCATTAGATCAAATACAACATGCTCCACCAGTTGATGTGTAATTGGAATTGTAGTCATGTTTTGATGCATCTTCTAACGTGGAAGAAAATCTTTTTAAATTGAGTTCATACTATTAAAATATACAAATGCTGATTTTCCCTGAGATACAACAGAAGAGTACTTGTGATAGATACCAACTAAGTGCAGCAGTGGCATGTTGATTTAAATTCAGTCACTGCTCATTTACTTCAGCTTCTGAATATTGTTCCAAACTCTGACTGCAAACAGGCACATCACTAGGAATTTTACCTCTTCATATGATTAAATCATTGTGGATGTCCAATTTCTTTCCAAACAAAACAGCACCTCATATTTTCACAATATAGCTGCTATTTTAGAATGATTGACACCTGTAATTGAAATTTTAATTTGTATTTTAGACTATACTGCTGGATATGTGTGTGTCATCTGTGTGATACAATAATGTCTTCAGATTATTATTATTACCCATTTTATAGTTTTGTATGTTAATAATTCTTCCCCCCCATATATTTTATTGATTTTTTTAAAAACATAAATCACTTAATAGTTGGTAAACTGTGTTTACTGGGTTTACATTTGTAAAGAAAAATCATTAACAATTGGTTTCTATAATCCATAATCCACATAATACATTTAGTTAATTTCTCCTTTTCCCCAAAATGTCTTCTTTGCAAAGCTTGAATTAATACAGTTCTTATTATTTTGATAAATAACAGTTACATATATGATTTTTCCCAATATTCCTAAAAATAATGATTACATCAATATAATATTTCTTTTCTATCTAATCATTCTGGTTGCCTCATCTTATATCCTGTTACAGTCCTTATTTATATTTGTTTCTCCCATAAAGTTCAAAGTATTCTTGCTGGTTAAGATTTTCTCAACAGTTAATTACATTTAAAGATTTAAATCCATTTTTCCCATATAAACCATCTCAACATTTTTACATTTCTTAAAGAATAGGTAAAAACAGTAAACAAAAGAAAACGAGAGCAAGAGTAAAGAAACATAAAAAGTAAAATACTACTTAAAATATATATTCCTCCTAAGCTAATATATATTCATTCCCAAAATTTCTTATTCTTTTTAACTATAATTAAAATATATTTAATCTTTAAATATTCCATTTAATGTGTCTAGTCATCTAATCCTTTAACTCTTATTCAAAACAGGTTTTTTTCTTTTTTATACATTATAATTTCCCTAAATTCAAACACATTTAATTATCTAAAACATTTCTTCATCTTAGTCATTTCAACAGTATATTACTTATATCAAGAAATAAAATAAAAAAGGAAAAAGAAAGCATACAGTATTATTTAAGGAATTCATCCCTCAGAATGACATATGTATTCAAAATCTTTTCTATTTCTTAACCATATTCAAACAAATGTTTCTTTTTTAAATATTCTCTCTGATAGTTTCCATCATCTATTTTCTTAATTTTCACTTTAATCTTTTTCCTTTTGACCAGTATCTTTCTTGATCAATGAGTTTTGCTGAATCAAAAAGTTTTCCCATATATTCATGACTGTTGCTGTAGGTATAAGAAGTAAATCGAATAAAGTGTCTTTCTATGAGGCTTTTGTCTTTCCATATTTCTTGAAAATCTTTTTCTTTTTCTTCTTCTCTGCTTCTCTTATCACTTCCTTTCTCTCTGATGTTTTCAACATCTTTACATTCCATTTTATCCAATCTGTTTTTTTGTCCTCAAGATTTATTTTGTAGTCTTAAAGGATGAGTTGTTTTTTTCCATTTCTTGTGAATTTTTCCCCACTAGGATTAAATAATTTTTTCTTGCTTTGTTAAGTTCCATCTTTGAGTCTTTATTTTCAGTTTTATGCCCACTTATTTGTTTTGTCTGCTCCTGGAAGCTTTTTTGTTGTAGAGTTAACTTACAAATAGATTGATTTATATTTTCAAATTTATCTGGGATTTCTTTGTGATTTGAACTCGTTGTTTGAATTAATTGCAGTATACTATATATCTCCTCCTGAGAGGTATTTATGTTTTCTTGGTGTGTTCTATCTACATGTCTCTGATCCATGATGGCCAAAAGTTGAAGTTTTCCTTCTTTTCTGCAAATAGCTTTAGAATCCTGGTTAAATAGATATTTGCAATCCAAAGAGTTCAAAAAAGATTTTTTTTTCTAAAGTTTATAATTCTCTCTTTGTCTGCAGCCCAGATTGTTGTCTTTTTTTGTCACAGCTGTTCTTTGTTATTAAAGCTTTGAAGGTCACATACACAGATTAGCTTTTCCCAGGTTTTGGCAAGTTCTCTATGGAGATCATAACTGTCATAATCTTCATCCACCACAGGTGTCAGCATCTATTTAGTTTTCAATATGAATAGTGGTCTTTAAAATGAGAGTCTTAACTATTCAATAATTTTAAACTTTAATTTTAAAATTAAATTTTAGCTTTCAAGTTTATAAATTTATTTCACTACCATATATTTTGTTCCTCCATGGAAATTTTAATTTGCTGCTTCTGTTAGTATAAGGGTGGGATGGAAGTCCCCCTCCTTCACTTTTGCAGGTATTTTGCTTCTTGGGGATCTTTTCCAGGAAATTAAATGTAGAATAGAAAAGGGAAAATCAGATTCCTCACCCAGTTTCAAGCACACTGTTTACTGTTGTGCTGGTTAGTTCTTTTGGACTTCGGTTGCAAGTAGCTTGGGCTGATCGGTGAAATACAGCCTTTCTCCTGTTGGGTTAAAAGGCTTTCCCCAAGATGAACGGAACGACCGCCGTCATTCCAGAGTCGCTGGGGCACCCTTCTTTCTTCGCCGCTTTTCTGGAGTGGCTTGGACCCATTAGGGTCTCCAGGCAGGATGAAAATTAGCCATGGGGATAAGGCAGTCTGCAAGCCTGCAACCAGTCACTACCACGCAGGACCGGAAGTCCTCATATGTTAATAATTCTAAGGCATATGTACAGTTGTACCAAAATCTTGTTTAGCAATTGATATAAAGCCAGAATTGGCAACTCCTTCAAATAACTGTCTTTCAACAAGCTGAGATAAAAATTTCTAACAAATTAAACTTCCATGCAGACCAAGTGATATGGAGACTACATCATCACATCAGCTCTATCAGCAGTTGGAGGGAGGGGGGAAGCAAAGGTGGCTGTGTTAGTTGACCACAACCTCTAAGACACAGACACTCTTCTGCCATGTGGAATCTCGTCTGCTCTTCTTAAGAGCAGGGAAAGGCTCTGTTCTGTCATACCAGCACTGAAACACAATTCACCTACCACTCCAAACATGTTCCATTTATGAAAAATGAATTGGGCAGAGATAGCTTATTCCCTGCCCACTCTCCTACCCCATTTAATATGGTAGAAATAGCATGAAATGTAACATCCACAGGCAAAAATTCCAGAAAGAGGTAAATATATTTGGGGATGAATGACAAGGGCCTGCAGCTTACAACAGTAACAAAAGCTAACAAAAATAAACCACAGTAAATTCTACCACAATCCATGACAACATAATGAAATAGAAAGTAAATCTTAAATATCAATTAATGTAAATTATGGGGGAAAGCAATCAATTCCCAAGGATCCCTGCAGAAGAGTTCATTAACTGCCTTCCAGAAGGCCCCAGCCATGGATATCAATCTAAGTTTTAGGTGGAGACTATTCCATAGAATGGGTTCAATGGGAGAAAATCTTTATTTCCTGGCTTCAACTTTTTCTAGGAGGACCACTCATGGCTCATGGACTAGGTAGTCCTGTACAAAAATCATTACTTCAACTTTAATTATATGTACTACTGTGTCAGTCAACAAATTTGAGAAATCATCTGCTTAATTCTGGCTTTTGATGGATAGTTAAAAGATATTCTGATTTATAGGTTTTTGTGCAGAACCACTTAAAAGACAGAAAGGAGGAAGAATAAAACAGTCTTTGTAGGTTCAAAAAAATCTCCAACTTTGTGAAGTAATTATTTGCAGCCAGTTTAACAACCATTACAAGTTCTTCTTTCCTGGGCAAACATTATTGTTTATGATTGAACCAAGCATTAAAAGGTGGAGTTTTATATAAAATATGGGAAATAATTTATAATATATGTTATCTAATTTATAAGAAAGTCTAATTTTATGCTCATCAGAGAAAATAATTTCTATTAAATTGACTCCCCAAACTTTCTTCCTTTCTTGGCCTACAGTGTCCTCTCTGGATAGCCTAGCAATAAACTTAAAAACAAAGGAGATGAAGGGTTAACTTAAACACATTTGGATTTTTAAAAATAGATTTGAAAAACTTAGGAACATTTCATTGTGGTCTCAAACCAAAATAAAACACAATTGTAGAAAACACAGGTTAATAGAAATATAGTAATCAAAGTGAGTATTCTGGTGTTTTTTTAAACAGTAAAAACTACATGACTGATTCTGATCAATCAAATATTACAAGAATGCCACAATTTTGCAATTCAGTAAGTAGCTTTGAAATACAAAAGCCATCTGGTGGCTTGGAATTCCCCCCCCCCAAAAAAAAGTTCAGTTATCCCTTTCTTTTATTAATAAATATTTTATTAATTTTCTATTTTTACAAACAAGTGCTTAATAGACAACGTGTTGACTGTGTCCATTAGTAATTCCGTGGTATATATAAGCTTCTTCAAACTAAATCCAATATTACACCATCAATACATCCTCTCTTCTGGTAATAAACATTTTTCCACATTAAGCAAATATAATTCTTATTATTAATAAATATACAGTTGAATATCAGCATTTATTACAGTTTTCTAATAGTATCAATGATATCAATTTAAAATATATTTCTAACCAAAACATATCTTAATTGCATTTGCACTCAATATCCATTTATTCAGTCAATGTCCTATTTTCGTTTTTTTTCCAGTTTTAATTTCCCATCCATATTCAAAATATCTCAATCATTTATAATTTCAAAACAAGTTATATTTGGGTAACCAAAAGCTTCCCTTATTCAAACTTCTTAGCATTTTATTATTTCCCTTTTCATGCCAAAATATGATATTTTGATTACCAATCTTATCTATCTAGTTATAATAATATTTCTATTTCTAGCAATCTATTCTTAACCATGTCGAAACATCTAAATAATATAATATCTCCTCTAATAGGTCAAAGATTCAGTTTTTTTCTATCTTACTCTAGCTTTTTTCCTTTGCCAACTAACTTTCCAAGTCAATGCATTTGAATTATGCAACAATTCTTCCTCTATTTTTGTGTATATTATTTGGAGCAAAGGAAACAATTTAGTTAAAGTATTTTTGGAAGAGCTAGCCCATTGATATTCATTAAACAGCCTCCCTCCTTCTGCAATTCCCCACAGTTCTGGTAACAGCTCTATCTTCCATTCCATCGGTTTTCCTTCCTTATCCTCCAATATGCTCTGAAATTTTGATCGATAAAATGTCTTTTCATTTCCAATATTATTGTCATATCTTCTAATTCTTCATTTGTCTGAATCTGGCCGTTAGTTTTTTCCTTTAGGTCCTCCATA